TCACTCCCCCAAAAACATAGTAAAGGGAGTTTATTATTAAGTAACTTTTGGCAAACACGTAAAATAAAACAAATGCATCAGTGTATCAAGGTGCTAATTAGATGATTTCAATTTGATCTTTTTCGTCCAAATTAGAGGGAGGCCTATACAAATAATAGATGGAGATTTTCGAGTAGATGTGCAATGCCAGTGCTTCCTTTATTTGCCGTAGATTTTTTTCCTTTGCCATTCAATGATTATAAAACGTTTATTAATTCCATTCTTACATCCCAACTTTGTCTAAATTACAGTGTCCATTCCATCATAACTGGAAAGAACTGGTATAAAGTTAGCAACATGTAATTCCACGTTGAGGATATAACAAAAAAATCTTCTATCTTTTTGTTAAAAGTTTTAACACAAAAAAAATTAAATTTGAAATCGGAAAAAAAATTTAATTTGTATTCTTTGAATTATTCAGATAGTTAAATAGTTTTGATACTGCCGGGAAGTATCACCTAGTCTAGTCTGACGACTCATTACCGATTGAACAGACGGACATACATAATCCTATGTCATTCATTTTTTAGACGGAGTATAAAGATGTATGCTTTAGGTAAATGCATTTCAACAACAGTAAAAATAGAAAAAAAAATAAGAAAAAAATAAGAATGACAAATAACAGTAAATGAAATTTAATTAAAGATATTGATTGTTTAGTTATTTTATCTGCAAATCTGTGTGCTTTTGATGTAGATAGACATTTAAGAAACCGTATGGTGAAGAAGAAAAAAATAAAAATACTGATTTGTGGTACCCTTGCCAATGAGACAACTATTCACCAAGATCAAATGAAGTGGATGTAAGTAATTATAGACAACCATGCGACCTTCAACAATGAGAAAAACCTAAACCGTATAGTCGGCTATAAAAGACCCCGACATGAAAAATACGAAACAATTCAATTAAAAATCTAATGGCATACTTTATAACAAAACAAGTTACGAAAAACAAATATGAAAGACATGAACCAACAATCGACTACAGCTGAACTACATGCTTCAGCTGACTAGGGGCATTCGTCATGCTTTTAAAGAATGTGGCGGAGTTAAGCATGTTTTGAGCGCTCAACCCTCCCTTAACCTGCGAAATTTGTGTTATAGCACAACATAAGAACAAACTAATAAAATGCTCCGCTGGGCGCAGCTTGATACGACCGCAGAGGTCGAACCCTGCTTGGTTTGGGATCTTAATTTCTAAATAGTTAAGACAATAACCCCCAAAAGCAATCAAAACCTTACGATCCTTTTGTGATACCTTGTTGTATAATTTCATAGATCCATTCACGTATTCTCAGGTTATTGTCTGGAAACCAAACGTCTTCGGAAGACAACGTCGTAACATGATACGAACGCAAAAATTTTGCAGAGGTATAAAAATAAGTTGAAAAGGGTTTAACTCATCAGATCGATACAAAGCAAAATAATGTCTAACCAAAAACACAGACCGGACGTAAGAGGGTATTTATACATCCCCACAACAACAAAGACACAAAGCACAGTTCTAAGAGTACTCGCAGTTACTGACAGCTAGTTTAAAGCCAAATAACAAGTAATAAATAATGTCATGTATTTAAGACTAAAATGCATAATTTGAAAATGTTTGCTCATTTGAATTTCATTATCTGCGTTGAATAACAAATCAAATAAAATATTTTTGTAGATGGCAAAATATTAACAATATACGGAAGAGCAGCTTGTCACAGCAATTAACAAAGTAAAGACATGATTAATTTCGAAATCTAAGGCTTCCAAAATAAACAAAATACCTAGAAAAACATTAGCAGATTATATACTTGGAAAAAGTATTACAACTGTATTGGAAAAAAAGGTGGACAATTTAAAAACCTTATCTAACAAAATCTCAGGTTTCCTCTTTAGCTAACTATGTAAAATATATGAGTGAAAGATGTTTTGGTCCAACCAGGAAGGTTTTACAAACATTTGCACTAGACTACTGTCAGTTACCAGAAATCATGTCCATCAGTATATAAACCACCTTCTCAAAAATGGTGTCAAAAGTTAAAAAAAAACACAAATTAAATTTTATTCCGATGGCACTTATTCACAAACTAGTTGTGGTGGAACGTTATTACTAGTCAAAGACTCTAGATCTTTTGAATCCTACTCCTATTATAACAAATACTCAAGCTGCAGTATGTTGGATCAACATTAATCCTTACCCTAACTTTAACATTGTCATTGGTTCATGCTTTAGACCCGAAGTTGAAGAAAACATTATAGTTGAGAGAATATGTGAATCATAAATAAAATTGATACTAGTAAAATGTATCCTGTTAGGAGACTTTAACTTTAGACCCATTGATTGGCAGAAGTTAGAGGCATCAACAACATTATCCGAGAAAATTGGAAATAACATTTTAGACTTGGCTATAGTTAGTGATATTAGTTTTGTTGAAAATTGCTATGTTGATGAATCTTTTGGCTTAAGTGATCATATAACTGTTAAACTATCTGTTCGTTATCCTAACATCAGACAAAATACGTTATCTCGAAAGGTTTATATGTATTCAAGAGGGGATTATAAGTCAATAAATGAAAAATTAAAACAGAAAAAGTGGGACAATTTGTTTGAAAAGAAATCTGTTGATTCTTGCTGGGAAATTTTCAGAGACATTTATACCAACCTTGTTGATACATTTATTCCCTTTAAAACTATTAGGCCTAGAAACCCACGGTCAGCCTTGGTCAAGATACAAATCTGTTGATACAGCTAAAAGGAATAATTATCGTAGACAACAGTGGGTTAAATATAAACAATCAGGTATTTCTGCATGAAATTCTATATGAGCAGGAAAGGATAAAAACAAACAATGTTATGATAAAAGCAAAGTCTGACTTTGAGGATAAATTAGTAAGTCAAATCAAAGTTAATCAAACACGTTTTTGGAACTATACTAGACATTTTTTTCTAAATCTTCAAGTTCAATTTCTCTATTAGAATATGAGGGTTTAAAATTAACCAATGACAACAAACAACAAAGCTGAAGTTCTGAACAATTTTTTTTATATCTGTCCTTACGAAGGAAGAACCGTTGGAGCATTCACTTGATTTACCAGTTGTAAAATTTGACAATACATTATGTGATTTAAATATTTCACCAGTTTTAGTTATACAAATTATAATTAACATAACTCCTTTTAAGGATGTTCGCTACTCTTGTTTTTGACTTTTTGTCAGATATTCGGAATCCTCTAGTTTTATCCATGTAGATAGAGCCAATAAAACTTTTTCCCGCTAACCCCTAATTTTCTTTTCATAATTTTATAACATATAGTTTTAAAAGCAATTTTTAAAAATCCTATAAAATCCTTTTTATTTTTTCATAGTTTTTGAAAGAATAAAGGTGCCAATTTTAATGTATGAAAAATCTAGAGAGAATTGTGTCACATATTATTAGAAACAAAATGTTATCTTGTCACCAGCATGGTTTTCAAAGTGTAAGTTCTTCTATTGCACAACTAATAGAGTGTTTAAATGATTGGACTCATTTTACAAAAGATTGGGTACTGATTGTATTTATCTTGACTTCGCCAAAGTGTTCGATACAGTTCCTCATCATAGATTGAAGATAAAATTAGGCAATGTCGGAATACGTGGCAACATCCTAATATGGATTGTATCATTTCTAAAAAAAACCGTCGTCAGAAAGTCGGTCTACCTGGTTGATCATCGAACCAATGGAGATCCGGAGGGCTGTATTTTAGGAACTCTTCTATTCTTGTTATATGTCAATAACATGCCAGACTGCGTAAGGTCTACTGCTAAAGTTTTTGCCGATGACATATATAGTGAAATTGTAAATCCTAGTTATTGTCAAAAGCTTCAGGAAGATCTGAACACTTTATCTGTTTGGTCTTTAACCTTGTTATTACGTTTTAATGAAACAAAATGTGTAGTACTTAGAATTTGTAAATGTTTTGACTTGATATACAGTTTAAATGGCACTCCGTTATCCGAAGAAGATTGTCAACGCGACTTACGTTGTTTTACTAATTTAACGTTTGAGATTGTATCTATTTTGTATAAATCTACTGCGCGTCCAATTCTCGAATATGGATCAACTATTTGGCCACCGAATTTAGTTAAAGATATTGAAGGTTCAGAGAAAGTCCAGCGTAGGTGTACTCGTGTGGCAAGCAATTCATTTGATTTAGAATCACCTAAATCTAGAAGATGGAAACAGGATATGTGTGAAACATATAATTATATACAACAAATATAATTCAAACACAGACAAGTTATTAAAAATGAGTGAATTGCATACTATGATAGAGGTCACAACTATAAACTAGTAAGCATTTTCCTAGAACTGATATTATAAATTTTTTTCTCAAATAGAGCAGTGAACTCTTGGAACGAACTCGGTTCCTGACTCTGCTGTCGCTGCGCCTACTTTGGACATGTTTAAAAAAAAGAATTGAAATCCCTACCTGATCGTTGAAGGGATAGATCATCAAAGTAACAAAGTAATAAAGTATGGTTTAAACTCAATCTATGAGCAATTCTTATCAAATCCAGCAGTACAGAATTGGGAATATTACAAATTAAAAAATCCATGGTCTCTCTCCAATTGAAATATAGGGATACATTTCTAAAATTATATTGTTTGTAGTGAAATGTGATATTCTACATCCAAAAAAAGGGGATGCTTTATTTATCTAAGTTGCTTGTTTATTTTAAAATAAGAGTTACTCTTCATGTACGTAAATTCGATTTATATATTACTGTTTATGTCTCAGTCAAATATTTATGATATTGAGCTTTTAAATTTTAATTTAAATTTTTACCACTATTACCACATGGGAAAAACATCATTGTAGGATTCACACGACGATATGTTCAGGCTATTGATTGCTTAAAATACCCTATCATCAAGGGAAATGTAATTATATATACTTGTCACGAACAATCAATTTCGATATCAACCACGCAAACATAATTACATAGACTTGTAATTGTATTGATAAAATGTCGGACCGATGAATACACAAAGAAGGTAGGTTTGTTGATGTTAAGGCTTATTGTTATGATGTTAACTTGAAAATATTTGTTAAACTATGAAAAGTAATGGTTCGATTGGAATAACAAAACATTTTTTGACAATTAAAATGAGAATGCATGCATGAAATGTTGTTAATTCTGTTTAATTAAAGTTTCGGTAAAATTATGACATTATCATGGTAACGTAGACCTTCTTGAGGAATCTATCGAATTGATTGGTATACATGTAACTCATGCTCGTAATGTAATTGCTTCGGTGCAACGCAACGAACTACTAAGCAAAACATAGAAAACTACATATTTAGCAACACGATCCACACAACAAGCCGCAAGTGATCTCGGGTGCTACGGAAGGGTACGCAGATCCTGCTCCACATGTGTCAACCATCGTGTTGTTCATGTAAGTACGTTATATACACACCAGGTGATTAGTTCATTCGGCAATTCACATTCGAAGCAAAGAAGACTGAATTGTGGTTACGACCATTGAAATATGCAATTTGGGAAACATGTACTGTTTCATGTTTTCTATACACAACACAATAATGGGAAATCAGTTTATGTGTTTCCCCAAGTAGTACCGATTGTAAACTTGTTTTTATTTCTGTTAATTGCTCTTACTTGGCCTAGTACCAGAATTTCCTACCACAAACTTTCAATTATTCAGTGAGAGGACATCGTCTGTATAGCGGAATGTGAAGTTATATGATAATACTAGCTTCTTTTCGATCTTCCTTAGAAGCTCCTGTGTAAGGTCTATCTCAAATTAATAAAGGAACAAATCAAAAAGAAGAGGAGCACATTTGGTTATCATTGGAATGTAGAATATTTTTTGAATAACACGTCCTCCGAACGTAACATATATGTGTTCAATTAAGAAATCAAGCATTTTGACAATGTCAGTTGAATCAGAGTGGTTTGTTACAAATTACGATTTATTCCTCCGTAAAACAAGATATTTTTTATTTACGCTTTCAATTTGTCTTTTAGTTTGGAATAGGGAATACTTGTGTAAAGGGTAGGCAATTCAATGTTTTAATACTATTGTGAGAGGAAAGAGACTTCGAGTGTCTTTAAATTCTAACAAATCTTTGGATCTTGTTAGTATTCACACTGCCCAATTTAACTCTTAAGTCCGGTTTTGATTGCTAATAAAGTTAATGATGATTGTTTAGAAAAAGGTTTTGTGGAGCACTTGGGAGACCCAGCAATATAACGTTGTTTGTAACACTTATGTAATTTAGGTATCCAATACATTGAAGGAAGATCCAGTTCTTCATCTTTGGTTGAAATTCCAAAGGAACATGGAAAGGATCTATGATTATGTATATAATCTTCTCTTTGGTAAGTGTTGTTGGGGTATATGCTGAGTTTCAAAGTTAATGTTCAATACTTGTCTGTTGGTCTCTTTCGTTTTTCTTTTTTTAGCCATGATGTTGTCAGTTTATTTTTCTACTTATGAGTTTGAAATTCCCTTTGGTATCTTTCGCCTCTCTCTTAATTCCGTTATCAAGCAGTTTATATAATATGATTTACATACCAAAACAATGCTGTTAGGGATTTACCTGCGGGTGTCACGAAATAGAAGTTCCTTCATAATATTTGTTCCAAATGGAAAAAATATTCTGGAATATTATTTCCTCTGGAATAAATATTACAGTATATGTTCCTAACGGAATAAATGGTATAAAATATTTGTTCCAACAGGAACAGATATTATGACATTGTTTATAACAAAGTTTCCAGTGGAACTTCTGTTAGGCGGAACACATATCCGTTGACATTTACAGATCGATGTAGCAAGTGTATTCATAGACCCATTCCTGTTTTTTTTTATTTTGATATATATTAACGACCTCACATCCCTAACACACTCAGAAAACGTAACTACGTACTTTTGTTAAACCCATTGCCTGGCATTATCCTCGACTGAATCAATCAGTATTTTGAAGTTGTGTTTCCTTTGGTTGATGTAGGCTCACAATATTTCGAGCCTTTGGAGAAAACATTGCAGACAAAATTGTTATTCACAATGTTCACGTTATCTGTTATAAGGTGGCCAGTCGAATTATAAATTAATGCATGGGGAATTCGCACAGGTGGAATCGGAAAGTTTAGTCTTGAAATCCTCAATATTCAGATCCTGCAACACGCGTTTGTAATCAAAATCTTTAGTCACGATTGTTTTGGTAAACGGATAAGAGATGATAGGTACATACTGATCTTTAAAGAAAGGATATATTTTCGAGTGAACTAATTTATGACGAAGGATATAACAAAAGGGCTGATTGCGTCGAGACCTTTGATGGCAAAGGAAAGTTATTAGAAATGATACTTTTTCCGCTTAATATTTTCCAATGCGAATCAGTCTGAAAAGGCTATGACTAGCAATATCCAAGTTCTAGAAGTTTGTATTCAAAGGTTATACAGTGTTCTCCTTACATAAGTTGTACAGAAAATGAGGTTTTGAGATGGGCAGTGAATAAAAGTTCCAGCGAATGTGATAAATACCCAACAGCTTCTCTGTATAAATGAGAGAAGGTCATTTCTAGAGACACCATGGAGACAAGATGATGTTTAATGACGATGACCATGGCTGCGTTGGGCGGTTTTCTGCTCTTGGTCGGGTTAATGTCTCTTTGACACATTCCCCGTTTCCATTCTCAATTCTATTTAAAATATCCTTCACATTCACCGAGCTACATGAAAGACTAGAAAAATATTTATTCCACCATTTTTTTTCATTGCAATCATATGATGTCTCATTTCCCAATTCTCGAATCCTGTAGTTTTCCCTTGGTCTACGGAGATGGTGTTGCAGGATGAGGATGCAAACTCGCATAGATCATAAAGACATGGTTGAATGATCAGACTGATAAAAATGCTAGTAAACAATGTTAAAGTCAGAATGCGAATATATATGTTCCAACTCTTTTAGGTCATTTTTTAGTAATAACAAACAAAAGAACTATGTCAATTGGACCTGCTTTGATACGATAACTGCAATTGAATTTTTACTAGATAACATTTGTGTTCGCTATGGAGATTACGTCTATCGTCAAGTTATCGGAATTCCAATGGGGACTAACTGTGCAGCACTTATTGCGGACCTGATTTTGTATTGCTATGAGTTACAATTTATGACTAAAATCAGCAAAGACCCATCGAAACAAAATCTGATACAAAAATTTAAAAACACTTTTAGATAATTGGATGATATATTGACTCTCAATAATGACGACTTCAGTATGTACACTAAAGAGATTTATCCTGCTGAACTGACTTTAAATAAAGCTAATACTAACAATGAACACTGCCCTTGCCTGGTCCGTGTAACACTTATCAATTAAAAATTTAAAAAAAAATTCAAATTTTTGTTTTTTGGAATTTTGATAAAAGTTTTGAAACATCAAAATACCCAATTTTTTGAAAATTTTTGAAATTTTGAAATTTTCAACAAAGCATTAAAATTTAAAAACCCTAAATATCATTTTAAAATTTGATAGTTTAGATATTTGATCAAACTTTAAAAGTACTAAACTTAACGTGTAGTTTTGATTATTTCATTTTTTGAAAGTTTTATCTAATTGATTTTTGATTAAGATATTAAAAATAGAAAACGGGCGAAAAGAGAACATACGCATCATTATCGCGTTTGGTGTATCTGTAAAGTGCGAAAAAAAGCGGAACGAAACGAACGAAACGAAAAGTACGAAATGAAATGAACAGTTTTACTGTTACTTAAAAGTTAATGTATAAAATAAAATAAGAGGCAGACAGTTGTAAGCGGTGAAAAATTGAATAACAAAATAAATATTTCTCAAAAGCGGAGAATTCATTTTAAAACAAGAAACACGGCTCTGATTATGATCCTTCTAAGGTAGGAATAAAAAACACGAAATATATCATATAATTCTTAATTGCAAAAAAAATAATTTAAAGAAGAAGTCGTTTTTCTTTAAACAAATTGGACATCACATGAGATAACAGTTTCCTGAAATTTTAAGGTTTTGAATCTATTGAAAAAACACATTTTAAAATAATTTAAACCTGCATCAAACAGATTGATTTACTTTTAAAAAAATCTCTAACATAAGCTTAGTGTTTTAGATAATTAATTCAGATTTGTTGGTTTTCCAAGCGCCCATCATTTAGGAGTAACAGTGAAAACTGACCAACTCGCAGAAAGCCAAATAATATGGTAGGGTTGAGTATGTATATATTTTCTACTGTACTTTAAGCAATAAAATGGTTCAATACACGTGTGTTCCCTCGAATTTGATTTTAGATTTTATTGTTTTGCTTTACGACTTCCATGGATAGATGGGCGCTTAATGTACAGCGGCAACTATTACATAAATATGCAGGCTGAAAATAATGTTTATGTTGTATGTTTACATGGTATGAATGTTTCAGCTTTTACAAGACTAGCACGCTGAGTTGGATGTTTAAGTTCTACCTTTTAATATTATCCTGTCTCCAAGCTACTAATATTTGATCTAATTCTTAAATTCAGCGTGTATAGCGGATAGCAGTGTAAAATAGATTTCAGCAACCTCCCACTTTCGAGTTTATTGCGACACCATGGATTCAGTATTCCTACCGTACCAATACTTAGAACTGAAATCAATGATAAAAGGCAATATTTGATCGTGATGCAATCGATAAAAAATGAAAGCAACACGATAAAAGTTGCATGCGTCCGAAGCGCTTTTCTGGATTTACCTTCACCAGGAACGTTCAAAAACCGAATATTTGAAGGCCAGTGATTTATAAGAACCGAAATAGTTGATTAAAGCTAATGATGATTGTTCAAAATGTACGTTCAATGATTTCATCTGCCGACATGCTTGTAGATAGTAAGAAGTCGTAAAGCAAAACAACAAAATCTAAAATCAAATTCGAGGGAACACACGTGTATTGAACCATTTTATTGCTTAAAGTACAGTAGAAAATATATACATACTCAACCCTACCATATTTTTTGGCTTACTG